CAGGATTTTACTCCAGAGAAGAAATCTGGTGGACGAGGTGTGAAGAAAGCAGGAGGCAGAGGGAAGAAAAAGGTGAACCAGAAGGCCCCGTCACAGAAAGAATTACCTGTCACAAAACTCGGTGTCTTCTCTTTGCGTTTCCAGCTTTCGTTACTTTTTCTCTGTGACCTTGCAGAAGGCTTCGTCCGACTCTGATTCAGACTCGGGATCGGCATCGGAGAAGAAAGTAGCAGACAGCGACTCGGAGGACGAGAAGCCTCGACCGGCTCTGTCTGGCTCAGAATCCCAGTCTGGCTCAAAGTCTGAATCGGAATCAGATCCTCCCCCGCGGAAGGGCCCACAGGCTCGCAAGAAAGGTGCGAGTTTAGTTTTGCTCTTTTATTTACTACAGTTTCATCTACAATTGTAGCGATGCAGATAGATGTTTAGAAGCCATTCTTTGCTCGTGAGTTAGTGCAGAGTTTTTCAAAGTCTGTGCTTGTGTCTTTCTGATTCACAGAGAAGCCGGCGCCAAAGCCTCGAGCACGGAAACCCAAACCTGCGCCGGCAAAACGAGCGCCTTCATCGTCCTCCGACAGCGAAAGGTCAGGCCGCTCCCAGGATTTCTTCTTAACGATTTATGCACCACAGCTTAATACAAGGGAAATTCTACTCCATACATTAGCTTGGCATAATTAAGGTTACCTTGCCCTCCCACCTCTCGCAGTGACAGTGAACCCGACCGCATCAGCGAATGGAAGAAACGAGATGAAGAACGCAGAAGAGAGCTGGAGGAGCGGCGAAAAAAGGAGGAAGCCGAAGAGCTCCGCCGGCTACGTGAGCGAGAGAAAGAGGAGGAGGAGAAGAAGAAAAAAGACAAAGATAAGGGTAAAAAAGAGAGTGAAAGCGACAGCAGCAGTAGCTCAGATGAAGGTATAGACGATCACCCGTTGAAGAAGTCCAAGAAACCCCCCCCACCACCTATCCCTGCGCCCTCAGACTCTGATTCTCCGGCACCAGCTGAGGTACGTCTGTTAACATAAAGTAATGTTTTTGCTTTTGTTAAAGAAATGGGATTATACGTGATACTTTCCCATCAACAGGTAAAGAAGCCACCCAAGAAGCTAGACAACCAGAAGAAAGCAAAAATAAAGAAAGAAAAGGAGAGGAAAGAACGAAAAGAGAGAGAGCTGAAAGAGAAGAAAGCCAGACGGTCAGAGGAGAGGTCCAGAGCGAGGTGAGTGCCCAACGGGGAACAGACTACTGCATGCACAGCTCATCAGGAGAAGGTGATCAAACATTAATGTACACGGATCACAGAGTTTCCTCTCTGTCTTAGGTCTAAGCCTGAAAAGCTGAAACGCAAACCAGAGAAGCTGCCGGAGAAGAAGGTGGAAAAGAAAAAGGGTCAGTGACTCTCGCTGTTGGCTGAAAACAGGCAGTGTCATTTATATAAGAGAGAGACAAGTTCCGTTCTTTCATTATCAAGAACGGATGAAGCGATAATTTAGTACTTTGTGTGTTTATTTGCAGAGCCGTCACCTGGAGAAAGGCTACAGAAGCTTCATACAGACATAAAGTTTGCACTTAAAGTGGACAACCCAGTACGTAACACTTAAGACGACGGTTAATATGGTCACATAAATGTTTTGGGTTTCTTTTTATTCTGGCGTGAAAATTCGGTTTGTGTGGTTTTCAGGACATAGAGCGATGTCTACAAGCACTGGAAGAGCTCGAGGCTGTTCCTGTCACCAGCCAGATCCTACATAAGAACGCTGAAGTTATTGCCACACTAAAGAAGGTGAATTTGTTTTGTATTGCTCCACGGTTCTTTACTTCTAGGTGCACAGCTCCTTTTGGTGTTTATGCTGGAAAACCTGTGCTAAAATTTACTCAAGTAGTCAAAACACAACACAAGGTTGGTTGAGCAGTAACTGTTTTGCCCTTGTGTTTTTACTCTTAAACACTTGTAGAGTAACTTTGCATAAGTCACCGTTCACAATAATACTTATTTGACACTGGGCTTTGATGCAGCCTGTCCAAAACAGGGCATTTTGGTTCTTCTGCCTTTAAGCCAGTTTTTAAGTATTTGATTGGCTAACTTTGAGCAGTGTGAAGCTTTGGCTCGTAGGGATTACTTACACACACGCTGACCTCATTGTTTGAAGTTTGATCAATTGTTCATGTGTATCCACCTCTGTAAAAGTATGGGAAATAATAAGAGGAAAGGCACGAGTCTTTTTTGGGAGACTCATTGGCCACTTTGTTAGTTACATGACAGTGCTGGAGACTCTTCTGCTTTCTAAACCGCCTTACTTCTACATGGCATAGATACAACAAGGCAGGAACTCCAGCAACACTTAAAGGTAAAGAGGAACAACTTTATTAACTGACCAGCGTGTTTCGGCTTGTGGCTTTCATCAGGGTCATAATAACATAGAAACCAATTTGTGTTTAAATAAAGGACAGGAAACAGAAAAAAAAAGGAAAAAAATCAAATGAACCAATCACACCTTCACAGGTAAACCAGCTGACGTATAACAGGTTGGTATTGGTTAATAGGTTAATTGGTTAAGTCGCAGCCCAAGTGGAAATTGGTGAAGTTGTTGCTATGGATACGACAAGGTGCAGCACATGATAGCATCACACAGTTGCTGCACATCTGTAATGCAAATCCTGAGGAGATGTGCTCAGATGGATTGAAATGTGGTGACTTTTGATGACTGTGAACTCAGAAGATCGGTACAGCCCGGTCATAAAGCGACAGACATGTTCAGCAGCCATATTGTGTGTTTTCTCTGTAAACCATAGAGATAGATGTGTAGGATCAGCAGTTTCTGAAATACTTAGGCAAATTCATTCAGTACCCAAAGTTACAATAGTTAACTAAAACTGTGCTAAATATGGAGAAACTGTATATGGGGAAAAACATTGTAGTTAAAAATAAAAACTGGATTTTTGGAAAGATTTAAACTGAAATTATTGAGAATTTGGAAAACAAAATAAAATGAAAACAGAGAAAATATCCTTACGTTTAGTTTTTGTTTTTGTTAGACCATTAAAGCCTCATCAGGGTTTAATGGTCATGTTTATTGAGGCTTTGGACATCTACGAGACTGAGAGTCAACTGTGTTACGTCCCTCTGCAGCCTCTAATCTGCTCAGTGTGTTCAGCTGGTGCTAATTGGCCACACCTAGTCAGGTGTGGATAAAAGCATACCTGAGGCAAGCTTCCCAGGGAGCTCACTAGTCTTTGCCTTGGTGGCATCAGCCATTTTAGCCAACCTGGTTTTTTATTTTAAGATAAAACCTCTTCTCACCCATACTCTGGTATTGGTCTCCTTTTTTATGTTGCGGCTTTGAGCCGGGTCGTAACATAAGTGGGGGCTCGTCCGGAATCCCGGACGAGCCCCCACAACTGCTTTTAAACAACTGCTTTCAAAAAGTTCACTATTTTTGTTGGAACACTTGTACTGATTTTCCTAAATCTTGCCACTAGTAGATGCCCTCCATACAGTAACAATTAAAAAAAACTAAAGTCACTTAAGTCTCCCTTCTTCTGATGCTCAGTTTGAACTTCAGCAGGTCATCTTGACCGTGTCTGCGTGCCTCAATGCGCAGAGTTGCTACCATGCGATTGGCTGATTAGATATTTGCTTTAATGAGCAGTTGAACATAGGGCTGTTTGATATAACGATATATATCGGATAACGATATAAAAACGTCTATCGTTTCATTTTACGCTATCGTTTGTTTTGTGATGTCGTAATTCATGGTTTTGATGGTCACTGTAGTGGCTATATTAATTTCCTAAAGTTCTCTCTTTGTCTTATTTTTAATATAACCACACTACAGATGGACAAGCGCCTGTTTTTATGCATTGTCGTTAGCAACAACGATGGCAAAACCATCGCGTGTCCGCTGGTTTCGTTTCCACATTAACCTTTCACAATAAAGTTCAAGACTTTTCAAAATAAACTGAATCACGTGAAAGAGCAGATTATTTACGAGTGAGAAGTAAAAAAGAGCCGCCAGCTGCTAAAAAATAAACCTTAGACTCAAACGTTAAAACAGGCTTTTCCCCGCAGCACGCCGTGTAATAAATACTCACAAAGAAACCGGCGGCCGTTACGTCTAAAAATGTATCGTTTCATGCATCGGTTAAAACACTCGACGCCCAGCTGGAAACACTTCACCAAGTCGAGCTGCCCGAGATTCACAGAATTTACAGAAAATGTTACATTCTTGTGATTTATATCGTTATCGGGACGACAGATGTCTTAATATCGGGATATGAGATTTTGGTCGTATCGCACAGCCCTAGCTGAACAGATGTACCTAATAAAATGTTCAGCAAGTGTATGTTTAGCAATCTACGTGTTTTTTATTTGAACAAATTCATATAATGTTACCGGACTTATTTGACATGTTTGTGTTCATTTTAGATCCGGCGGTATAAAGCCAGCACTGCAGTCATGGAAAAAGCTAGCGACGTCTACAACAAGTTAAAACTGCGTTTTGTGGGCAAGGCGGAGGTGGCAGCTAAACCTAAAACTGAGAACAAGGAGCCAGAGAATGATGAGGAGAAAGAGACAGAAAACACAGGTAAGAGCACTCGTTTGGGATTTACTAAAATCTGGATTCTACTGTTTTCTACGTTTTCTAGTGCACTTTCTTTTTGATTTATCTGCTCGCTTATTTAAATCTGATTTTGCCGTGAGCAGATTCCACACCTGTGAATGGGGAATCGGAGCAGAAAAAAAATGACACAGAGGGAGAGGAAAAGCCAAAGTCACCCGTACAAGACGAGAACAACGTTGATACGGCTTCAAGTCCAAACAGGTGAGCGTAAACCCACCTGTGACAGGATGCGAGCTTGGGATAAATGTCACATTAGTAAAAATGTGTCTCGTTTGCTATAATCAGATGATGTCATGTATGATGTTTTCAAGCATGCCTGCTCTTCGTTAGACAATTAAACATAGGGAGGGGGGTACCATCTTAAATTGCCTGTGATTGGTCACAGGACCACAACCAATGGGAATAATATCCAATCAGAACCATATCTCATACAGGACAAACAGTTTATGAATAAATAAGAACACATTGTAGCGTCCCTGGCTGAATGATGGTCTCTTATACTGATGTTTCACAGAGGTTTTATTGGAAATGTTTTTATTGAAACATTCAGTGACGACACCGTAAGAGCTAGGAGCAAAACAAAACCAGCAATATTAATACCATAACATCAAAGGAAACAAATTTCTCCTGCTCACATATAGCATATACATCAAATTTACATCACTCAATTCATTATATCACCTCACTAACTTACAACTACACATAAAGGTCAAGGTTAACAACAAACTCTATTAAATGACATTTTGATTGCATGTAACTTATTCCGTTAAAGGAAACATTAACAAACCTTGTGCCACTGTCAGCCAGGTACTAATTGGCAAAGGAAACGTACATATTTTTCACTTTAAGGCACACTATTTACCATATCCTAAAAGAAACGTTACTAACAAGCCCTTCAACGGTTTTGCGACAGTTTCCTGTTTCAAAATAAAAGCATGGATTTCAAAATAAAACCGACATACCTTTCAAACAAATGTAAAAATATTTACCAAATTTAAAGGTCATTTACACACATACTGTCAGAATAATCAGAGCCTTGAAAGACAAATAAGGGAAGATAAATATGTGTCAGGCAACGTCTAACAATAAAACTTGATACATTTGGTTAGACACACTCGTTTAACCACTATGTGTCTGCTATATAAAATAAATAAAATTGTATGAAAGGGTTTTGAAAAGCACGCTACACAAAGTATTTAAAGACACCTTCGGTAAGAAGTCTTATGGTGCCGTCAGGTTAAGTGTAGGAAAACTCCTAAAGAGGAGCCTGCATTGTTGGATGCATGATATTTACTAAATAAACTTTATTGGGCGTAATCTTGTTTTACATGTATTCTGCGATCCTCTTCAGGCGAAGCCCGGACAGCTCGGCCGAACAGCAAACACACACGTACGAAGAAGAGGACAACTCGATCTCTGCGGAGACGGAACAACCTGCCGTCGAGAGCTGAAAGCATCCCTCACCGACCACTGCAGTGGACCAAGTGCTAAAAGATGGTGGCCTCTGTTTAACATGACGCAGTGCTGCTGACCCAACAACATTGCAACACACACCCAGCATTTCCTACCTTATCTGTTACTTCATTGTTCATGTTTTAGACATTTTTGTACTCTAACCATACCAAACCAGGAAAGGCCCATTTTTAGTCCATTTGTTCATCACATCAGAAACGACATGCTTATTAGCGAGCTAGATAACGGCACCACGCAACACTCTTTGGTTTCCGAGATGTACTTTTTCTTTTCTATGACACTCTGGCCGTCCTGGATCCTCACTCCAAACTCCCGCCAGCTCCTCGCTGCTTTCTTCTTTCTAAAATCTGAACTCTTACTTTGGTCTTTCATACTGTGTGTATGTCAAATGATTACATTTTTAGCTCTTCTATATAGAGCGGGGTAATATGAGATGAAACTGAATCTGATGAAGAAAATGGGAAGAAATGAGTTATGCTTTTGTGTGTGTGTGTGTGTGTGTAGCTCTTACATCTGTTGGCTTCTTTCTTTTTCTTTTTTTTTGTTTTATAAAGCCTGCAAAACATCACAAAGGCCTCCTATCTGTGTGTTTGCCATAGTGGGAGGGGTAAAATGCTACTTGTCTTTTATGTTAAGTATTTTTTTTTAATTCTCTGGTCTTGATCCAGTGAATCCAGTCTGAAATGTAAAGAGTCACTTAAAACTGTTTTCTGGTTGAGGTCCACCTACTGTTTTTATAGCCTCGTTTTCAGATAGATACAGTTTTGTCTAAAAAATAATAATCTATGTGGAGTTAAACACCTTGTACTCTCCTCTCCCCTAGTGTCTGCTTAATAAATGGAATAACGCACACATTAAAAACAAAAACTGCCCTTAAAAGCTAATGAGATCTCATGTAGCTGCAGCCTTTTTTTTTTTTTTTTTTTTTGGACCTTTTTTTTTTGTCATGTGCATACAGCCGGTGTTTTTAGGGTCATGGCTCTTGAAACAGATAATCGTATCGCAGCAATAA